TACAAAACCTAAAACTCTATTTCGTTTTGAGAAATTCGCATTTATCAGGTTGTATCTTCATACTTGTTTTCTGAAGTATACTAAAAAATTATTCACTGAAAAAGTTGTCAATTCCATACCTTCTTTTTTGAATGAGATTTAATGGAATCTTGATTTTAAATCAATGATTGAGTAATATTTACAATTACCTAATTGTGCCAGTACGTCTGAAATTTCGGGCATTGGGTATCTTTCTGAAACAGTTATGGCGTTTATTAACTTTTACCCCGAAGTAAAAACTTAATATTTCGAATGTTTGTAAGACACTAAAATTTATTTCCAAAATTGAATTCCTTATATAGTCACTTAATATCTAATAAATACATGAGATAGGCTTATCGCCAATAGAGATACAAATATTTTATCTTAAAATAAACATAAATTGAAACAAAGGAAAACATGCGTAATTCGAGCATGCGTATAAGAAAGAAAATTCCATTTGTTATCTTTTTGTGTTTTTCGTGGCATTCTGCTTATCTGGATGATAAGCTACCTAAATAAACACCACCGTTCGTGTGAACGGATTCCATATCCTAATCTAAATATTGAAATAAAATAACTAAATATTGAAGGCCGCAGAGTGTTCTTAAGATAAGAATTTATGAGAAAATTTATTGAAATTTGAACATTCTGCGGGCCGCCAAAGTGAAAAAATATATATTATTTTAATACTAAGCTTCATGTGGTCTACAAATAATAATGACATTCTTTCTTCTCTTTAACATTGTTGTGTTTCCGCTGTTGTCTTTCTTCATTAGGATTTCCAGTTACAAAATAAAACACAGTTGTTAGTTTCCTTTTTTTTATTAACATTTATTTATTAATTTTTATGATACTATCAGCAGTAATAAGGTAGATGACTGCATACAGTATAATCGCACAAGTGCATATTGTATCCTTCTTTTGCTTTTGTCACTTGTCTAATTTTCACTAGTTCAGGTTTAACATTTAAAATTATTTTACATTTTTTTCCTTTACAAATTAGTTGATACTTAGTTAGTTCAATATCTTAACATTCTTTTGCTCTTGTCACTAGTCTTATTTTGACATATGTAATCTTTGTAATTTTCACTAGTTCAGGTTTAACCTTTAAAATTATTTTATATATTGGTTATTTCTAGCTTACTGAACCACCGAACTCACGCACCAGCGTCTCCGATACAACACACTGGTTTGCAGAGCTCAACGGCTCTTCAGAGACCACACTCACTTCTTCCAAACGACTCTCAAACGACTCCCAAAAATGACAAATTTTATCTTATGTACCTAATCTTGATGCAATACTTGACCTTAGAAATGCCCCAATTACCCTATTTAGGGTTTTTACACAATTTCATAATACACTGCTAAATTCGCAAAGTTTTCATTATTACAAGAATGCCCTTCATATATTTGCAATTCTTCCGCATTTAATATTTTCAAAGTCACTTACATGACACCAATTATTACCCAAATACCAAAAATCAGCATTTCTTATCGTCGAACTGACGAACTGATGCTTTGGTTCTAGTCAACAACCGTCAAGATGCAAATAACCTTGCCTAATTTTAGGGAAATGTACGATCACCTAAGATCGTACACACTACATATATATATTACGGAAAAACTGCAAAAACCGTGAAATTAAAAAAAATAAATATTTAACTCACAACAACATATATTTTCTTATAAAGTAAACTAGCATAATTATAATACATATACTTAAAATACTTAATGATATAAGTCCAGTTTACACTGATATAAGTCCAGTGTAAACCTTTCAGGGTCCAATCTGCTTCTTGAATGCGTTGAATCTGTTGCTTCAGCTTAATGATGTCTTCTTTATGATCGATTACGTGTGAATTTAATGACTTCAAGATATCAGCCGATGTGTCTTGCATATGTTTTATCAATTGCATACCAAAATCCCCTTAAATTGATGCATTTTTATGATTACTTGCAAGCAGTTGCGTCTTTCCAATTTGACCAGAACAACCAGCTTGTAGTATTAACAGACCCTGTTATGGTAATGAAAACAGATCTTGATGCTTCTGGTCACAAAATACATGTAAAGTTGCGTTTAGCGATGCCCTAAAAATCCATTGCCGACGATTACTTAGATACACTCACACTGGCCTCTACAAACTGACATACAATCTTCTTATGTGGATTCACAGATACTTCACAGCAGTTATCGTTTGCATCTTGCCATTCCCAAGTTTCTTCACATAGATATTGCCGGTCAGATATGACTTTACATTGATGCAACTCCACTTCAGACATTAAATGATAAACATCACCCTCGTGACTGTAGACTAGGTAAGGTTGAGCTATAGAAGCCACTACGTTCGCATTACCATGTTTGACTGGAACTGGAACTACCTTAAAGATGTTGGAAAACTTTATCGTAATCAAAGGAGTTGATAACTAGCTTGCTGTTTACAATTATTACCTTTTCTGTTAGAAGACGGATAATTGTGGCAATTTGGTTGGTTGTATCACCAGGTAATTTCATCTTCTCTGGTAGCCGTGCTGTTATTTTTGCAATTTTCAAGCTAAGCTGCTCTGGTTTTAACAGAACTGAACTAATTTTTCCATGATTAATATCTATTAGTAGCCTTAGCATTTGGAATTGAATATTTTCTATCTTTCGTAGTTAAGCCTCTATCTGATCTGCGACTGCTATAAATTTTATGAACTCTTTATAAACAAAATATTGTTCATTTGTGATTATTATCATGTTGTCAACCTTTTCCTCAATTTGCTTATAACCTTCGTTTACTTCGTTGGTGGTTTTCTGTAGAACGTTTATCGTGGCATTAACCAATAAGGTTTGATTGCGAAGCAGTCTTTCAATGTTGAATTGATTGCTTAAAAGATTTCTCATGTCATTTTCTAATTCTTCCCGATCATCATTGTCCATCAATCCAAACAGCAAATGATATATGGAACCAATAGCATTTAAAGATCTCTTGATACGATTGTTGTCTTCTAAGCCAAATAACTTATTATTGGACTTAACTTCGGCAAATTGTTCTTTCATTCTCATCAAAGTTTCTTCGCAATGATATCTAAACTCCCCACATATCTGCCAACTATGCACAATTAAATCTGTCATTTGCGACACTGACTTTATATATGTCGTTAGGTCGTAATAGACCACCATGTTCCATTTTGAAGATGTAACATCCATTCTGCCTAGGTTATCTAAGTAAACCGCTGTTCCTTCATTAAAAGAAGATATAGATGTTTTTGTTGTGTTTTGTACTGCTGCTACTTGACCAAACACTAAAATGAACATTGTTAGTAATACTTTAGACATGCTTATATCTGGATTTTTAGATGCTGCCTTTAATTTTGAACTGATATCTGGATCATGATAAATATCTAAAGGACATTTTTAGTTATCGATCTCTTAACAATGGTATCTTGCGAGGTAATCATTTTTCCATTTATTCCATAAATCGCTTTTTACTTTTTAAATTATTTTCCAACGATTAAGAGAATCAATTGCTTTTGAACAACTTTCTTCTGGAATATCAATTAAAGGTCTTTAAAATAGGAAATAACCGGGAGTTAAAACATCAGCATTTTCTATATCATCTCGTACTTCACATAACGGCCTAGAATTCAAAACTGCTTCTACTTGAATTAACAGTGTCGACATTTCTTCGTAAGTTAACTTCACCTCACCAATGACACATCTTAAATAATGTTTCATTGACTTGACTGCGGCTTCCCAAATTCCTCCAAAGTGAAGACCTCCTGGGGGAATAAAATGCCATGTAATTTTTTCCGCTGCCAACGTGCCAGCAATTGAAGGAAGATTTCTTATAGCTTTTTCATATTCACCATCAAGTTTCTTAGCAGTACCGACAAAATTTGTACCATTATCTGAGTATAATTGCGAACTTTTGCCTCCTCGACCAAAGAATCTTCTAAGGGCAGCCAGAAACGCGTCTGTTGACAGGTCACTTACAGCTTCTAAATGGATTGCTTTCGTAGCCATGCAAATGAAAACGGCTATATAACCTTTATATGATTTCTGGCCTCTTCCTTTAGATACTCTCATTTGTATAAGCCCTATTTCTGTGTGTTCAAATGTCCTCGATATTGAAACTCTGCTTTCTGGTAAGTTGCCCATCAACTGTGTAGTAGCTTCACGTCTATATTGTATACATCTAACACAGCTTCGAACATACTTTTTTATAATATTTCTTTTTATACCGCCATGTAATGTAATTTTTTGATAATCATCAACTAGTAGCATCGTTAAGTGACATTTTGGTGATAGATTGGATGTTCTCTAGCAAAAGAATGAGAAGAATTTTCTAATCGGCCTCCGACTCGCAGCATTTCATTTTTATCTAGAAACGGTTAAAGACTACATATTTTATTTCCAGATGGAAGTTCTCTTTTGTTTTTGATCAAATTAATTTCTTTTGTGAAATGTGAATGTTGAGGATGCCGTATTATAATATTTTCTACCTTTCTTAATTCTTCTACTGTCAACCATACAGGAGTTTTAGCATAAACAACTGCTGCATACGCATTCTCTGAAACGTCCGCAAAACCATGAAGCTCAAGCATTGTGTCACTTAAAGTTGATATCCATCTAGGAATTTTTATATCTTTAACAGTAGAAATCTAACGTCTAGTTTCGTATCCCACGTCAAGTCCATAAGCCATAGCTTTTGTATAAATAATTTCGCCATGGTTGTCGTTGGTGTTAACCATCCAAGTTGATCATAGATTCGAGCTAATATAGACAGTGTCTTGCGTTTAGTTATGTTAGTACTATCTACTGGTTTAATGTAAAAGGTAAAATTATCTGATTTCGGTTCCCATTGTACACCGAGCGTCTTAACAGCTTCTCCGTCTTCTACTTCGATTATATTATTGTCTCCAGAGTTCGGAATTTCACCCAATATTCGCTTTTCCTTTGCCATCCATTTTCGTAAATGAAATTTAAACTTCTTTAGCTACTGACTGATTTCGGATTGAATACTTATGCGTTCATTTATGGAGTCAGCACCTGTCATCAAATCGTTCATATAGAAATCATTTTTTATTACCTGATATAATTTTGAATTTTGATCCATATAATCATGAGCAACTTCTAGTAGAGCTCTTTTTGTCAAGAACGGTGCACAAGAAGTTCCGTATGTTACCGTTTTCAGTACAAATTCTTCTATGAGTTTTTTTTGATCCTCACGCCATAGGATAGTTTGGTATGGCTGATCTTCCTCTGTTACTATCACCTGCCGACACATTTTTTCTATATCAGCTGTCATAACGTATTTCCACAATCTCCATTTGATTTGTAGTTGAAATATATCCAGTTGTAGCTTAGGTCCAGTGTGTAGTACTTCATTTAAGCTTTTTCCGTTAGTAGTTTTTGCTGAAACATCAAATACTACCCAAAATTTTGTTGTTAAATGATCATCTCTCATTACAGCTTGATGAGGCATATAAAATTTACCAAGCATCATTTTGGAAACTTTCTCCATGTGACCCATATCCATATATTCCTTCATAAAGTTGACATATTCCGTGTTTAGTTTAGAATTTCTTTTAAATCTTTTTTCCAAACACAAAAGTCTGGCCATAGCCATTTTCTTTGAGTCTCCTAGTTCGTTTTCTTTTTTAAATGGTAATTTCACTATAAATTTGATTTCTTTATTTAACGTTGTTATTGATTTAAACAAATTTTCACATTCCTCATCAATTTCGTTTATTTTATGTGCTACACGCACTTCTTCGATTTCCCAAAATCTCTCAATGTCTGCAGTAACTGCTGATATTAA